TCCCTCGCTATTTATTATGGGGCCGATGCTGTATTATATTAGACTTTTCAATTTTCCAATACAACTTATTTGGACTTTTCTTTGGGAACAATAATTCCTTTAATTAATAAAATGTTTTTTAAGAACATAAACATAGGTGAGTAGATGCAGCTACTGTGTCTACCTCTCCACGATCGTCATCCGTTGGATACTCTGTACCAAAATGTAATATCTTATAATAAATTAAATTTTATGTGAATGTATTATAACTTATTAATATTTCTTATAATTATAACTTATAAAGGCTAAGAGTTCAAAAGGTTGTTATCAAAATTTTTAAAAAAAGTAATTGGAGGATAATTATAAAAAAAATGCATTGAATTAAACTTTTAAGATAAAAAAAGTTTAACTGAATTTATTAATGAAATCAATTAAAGATTTTTTTTAATTATTATTTATTAAGGATAGCGAAAGACGTATCAATATGTTAAAAAGTTTATAGTTTAATCAGTTAATAAATTAGATACTAATGATTAATTAAAAAAACTTGTAGCTTTATATGCATGCTTTTGTTTATTTATTCTACCAAAAACTAACAAACAAATCATATTGATACTACAGTTACGATCAATGTATGTTTAAGCAACTTACAACACAACTTTCATCCTAAAAAAATTGTTCTATTAAATATAGTGCAATAAAATTAAAAACATAGATGTATTTCTTCTAAGCTAATATTTCAAAGTTACAATAACTAAAGAAAAAGTCACACTTGCTACTCTTATTTTTAAAAAAAATAAAATATATAATTGATTAAAAATAAAATATATAATTTATCACTTAACTATACAACAGATGCAAGTGGACGAACAAATGTCCATATTAGAATTTGAATTTATTTTGGTTAGTTAGTTATTTTACTAATAATATCAACTCTGAAAATTTATTTGTGTCCACCCAATATAAAAATATATATATTGTTAATATATATGTATTCTACCTAAAAAAAAAGGTTTTAAATCTGAGCTACTTAACTATAAAGAAATTTATTTTGATTATTTAAATTTAAAAAACATATAAAATAGCTATTAAAATATTATTTTATTTTAATTCTAGTTATTTAATTATAAATTTTATTAATAACACATCATGTGGATTGATAGTTGTGTCAATGTGTTAAGTAACTACTTTTCGTATAATTAAAAAATTACTTTAACACATTATTTTACTTTATAAATTTATGCTAGCCAGATGGACAATGGTATTATTGTAACCAATAAACAAAAGTTGAGAAAAATATAAATAAAGTTTTTAAAACCTAAAAAAACAATAACTTAAATTTATAAATAATTTGAAAGTTTATACAATTTTAAAATGTATTATTTTTATTATCTATTTGAAATAAGAGTTATCAATATTTAATAATTCTCAAAGTCATATCATATGTAATATAAGGTAAATTATATAAATGATACTCAAATTTTAGAGTGTTTGTATTTTGATCATCAAGCTTTTAATTCGTTTATATTATAATCATTGTCGTTAATTAACGTTAAGAAGTACTGATGTGAAATATTAAAGTAATATTCTTTCTCAAGAAAACCATAAGTTTCTCACACTAATTGGCAGTTACATATATCCTTTGGCATACGCCGTCAACGTCTCACATTCTTTCGATTTCTACACAACAACTACCATACTTAAATACTTCATCATATTTTTACGATCTCCAAGTCATTCATAACCATTGAGATTTTAAAGCTCATAACAGGGTTTCAATTTGGAACTTTACCTATCCGCTATCTTGGAATTCCCCTTGTTACTCGCAAGCTTACCGAGAAAGACTGTCAAGTACTTATTGACAATATTAAGCGCAAGCTCCATCTCTGGTCTGGAAGAAACATTAGTTACGCAGGACGATTAGAGCTCATAAGAACGGTTTTATTTAATGTCAGCAACTATTGGTGATTTGCTCCAGACTTTTCTGGAAGGGAGCAGATAATTCTGCAGCAGTCGCAAGAATCAGATGGGACAACGTTTGTTCTAAATCAATTGAAGGAAATTTGGGACAAGATTCGAATCAAAGGGCAGAAGGTCAATTGGCATAAATTAATTTGGTTTCCATTGCATATTCCTAAGTATAGTTTAATAGCTTGGATGACTCTTCTCAACAGGATGCCTACTAGAGATCGGCTTATTAAAATGAGAATTTGCTCAGAAGTTCACTGTGTAAACTGCAATTTTAATCAAGAAACAAGGGACCATCTTTTCTTGCATTGTCCTATGGCAGCAGATCTCTGGAAATCTATTTTGAACCTTAATGGGATGAAGCCATCGATTATGTCATGGGATGATATGGTTTCAAGGGCTTCTTCTTCATGAAAAGGGAAGTATCTCCTTACCACCATCTTGAAAATTTCTTGGAATGCTTGCATCTACTTTCTATGGCAGGAAAGAAATCAGAGAGTCTTCCTAGGACGTCATAGAACGGTTGAATGTTTGCTCAAAGATGTCAAAGACGTTGTTGGAATTATGCTTAGGGGAACTAACATAAATAGACTAGAAAGTACTAATCTAAAGCTTTGTAATGTTTGGGGTATTGTCTAACCAATCTCTTTTGTGTAGGTTGTTTCTTTTTGATTGTTTCTCTTGATCGTTTGATTGGTTGTATCTATTTTGACATTGGTAATAAAATCTGAATTATCCAAAAAAAACCAATCATTTCATCAAAGTCCAAAAACATTATAACTACTAGTCACAACCACCATCTACGGCTAGACCAAACCCTAGCCATTATCATCAATATCATTCCATCATATCATACAATCACAACCACTAATAGTAGCAAATAGTAAACAAAATAAAAACAAATAAAGAAAAATAAGAGAAAATGAAACCTACCCATCTTGATATTGGCGAGTTTCTAACCAAAAGGAGTGCTCATCAATCAATTCCAACGATGGGAAGACCTTGTATGGTTATAATATTAACACAATTTAATTTTAAGTTGACCCAACGGTTAACAGTGACAAATCATAAAATTTTATAATCTAGTTTTGATTGGAATTTGAAGAAATTGTAAGATTTGTCGACTAATTGAGGGACTAATCGTGTTGTTTACTCATCAAGATACTTAAAAAATAAAATTTATTAATGTTATTTAAATAAGTTTATTGGAAAAGAATATGGTAAAGGAATAGAAGGAGAATGTGTTATACTTCAACAAGCTATTGCTTTTCATTAACAAATAGGAACAAAAAATCATTAGGAATTTGTTTGGTCAAATGTAACGAAAAATTTGGGTCCCAACACAACATCGTATAATAAGACATAATCCATAATAAAGTAAACAAATAGATAATTTTTTTTGGGTTGTTTGGATCCACCGTTTGATGGGTCCAAAAGCTGGTGACAACAACGATGTTCGATTAAATCATGACTCGTTGGATTGCAAAAAAAATAAAATAATGATCACAAGTACAAATAAAAATATGTTGTCTATAAAAGAAAAAAAATCATGAGAATAAAAATAATATTGCTTTAAAAAGGCTGATTTGCATAGAAATTAGACCAAACATACAACTGAACCTAATCATTTTCAATTCCCCATTCTTTAAAAAAAAACAACGAAGAAAATCTAGGGAGAAAATAACCCCAAGTAGAATGGATATTTTCAATTCTTATATAAATTATGTTTGAAAGTGAAATCAATCTCTCAATTGTTAAATTTTAATTTTAATTTTATGTATTTTAATATGAAAAACTCTAAGATCTAAAAAATAAAATATTAAAACCGAAAAATTCATTAGCGATGGATAACAAAATTTTAAATGATTATAAAATAAAAAGTTAAATATTTCTTTTGATAAAAAATGAAACACCTAAAATAAAAATAATATAATATAATATAATATACAATCTTTTATTACAAATAATTTGAACATAATGAACTTGAATCTATAAAACCAAACCCTCACAATTCTTGGATGTGTAGGTTGAAGTGAAGACGGATGAAAGTTGCTGGAGGAAGAGAAAAATGATGAGGAAGCAGCCAAAGGTCAATTCAAGCATCTATACATATTCAAAGTTAGATTTTAACCGAATTAATCGATTGAATTAAAGTTTTTTTCAGTTAATCGTCGATTAATTTTTAGTTCGGTCAGTTAACGGTTAATGATTTTTCCAAACTTCGGTTATCGATTAATTCGGTTCGAAATAGACAATTAACCAAATTAACGATTTTTTTAATAAATTATATATATTATCCATTTATTACTTAATCTTAGGAGTGTTTAAACTTATGTTTTAACCGAATTAACCGACCGAATTAATTGAAAATTTTAAATATTTAATATATAATATATATTATTTATAAATTTCGGTTAAATGACTAATTAACTGAACATTATTTGATTTGGTTAAAAAATTTTAAATTTTTTTTGATTCTATTAATAGTTAAAAGAAAAAAATCCATTTAATAAATTTTTAGAACTTCGATTTAATCAGTTAATCAGTTAACCGGATTAACCTTTCAACATTCCTACAATCATTCCAAACAACTTGAAAGAATTACAAGTTTAGAGAGAGAGAGGCAGCAGAATCTCAGTCATTAGATGCCAAGCTTATTTAATTCTACACCATTTTGTTTTGCCTAACATATAATTATATGAATTAAATTAAATGTTAAATTTAAAACAAAATTCTTTTAATGTTTTTTTTCTTATAAGACTTAAATTTGTTCTCTTTAAAAAAATATTTTTTCCAGTTAAATTATTTTTAAAACTTCATTATTCAATTTATAAAATTGAGAAAAAAAATCAACTTATCCCTTCTCTCTCGGGATGGATATTATTTATAAATAAATGTATAATCTTTAGGTATAGCCTATACATATTGTGAAACTGAAAGCAAGGGAAGTTCATGAAAAACTCGTTTCTTTAAGAAAGGCATTAGCCCACTTTCATCTTTCTCTTTAAATTTTTTTCCAATTTGATAATTTTATTTTCTTCCATGTATAATTTCTCCTTTCTGCCGATTAAACAATGAAAATGGCATATTACCAATCATCCTTCCCCCTCTATAGGAAGCACCCATCATTGCTGCCAATAATCCTTTCCATTTCAACCTTTGAAACCTGAGCTTCCAAGATATTCCTTCCCCTTCTCCTCTTCCTTTCTAGTATTTCTTTTTCCTCCTCCTCCACTTTTCCTTGTTGTTTAACAATGGATGCTTCTTCAACAAGCTCAGTCAATGGATTCTACACCTTCTTGACTCGCGGCATAGATGATCTCGAACGTGTTTACACCTCTAATAACTTCATGTCCATCCAGTTCCTTCAAGGGGTCCTTTCTCTTCTCCGATCTTTCCATTCCCAGCTACTCCTCCTCGTCCAGAAGCTCCATCTCCCCGTTGGTGATAAGTGGCTGGATGAATATATGGATGAAAGTTCTAAGCTTTGGGAAGCTTGTCATGTTATTAAATCGGGTATTTCCGGCATCGAAAATTATTACTCTGCTGGGTTTAATATCATTTCCTCCTTTGATAATCATCGCCATCTTAATCTCCAGCTTTCCAGACAGGTCCTTAAATTCACACCCCTTAGTCCTTACAATATTTTTAACATTTTTTTTAGTTTTTAGCGTTGAATTCATGTTCTGATATGATATGACTTTCAAAACTATTTGTAAACAGATCATCCTGGCAATTTCAGGGTGCCGAAGAGAAGCTGTAGGATTGGAAGAGGAAAACAGGGCTTTAATGGAAACGAGAATCCAACCACTTTCGTTGAGGTTTGATGAGAAAGTTTCGATCGAATCAAAGCTGAATGGATTCAATGGCTTCCGAGGTGTTCTTTACGCAATGAGGAATGTAAGTTCATTGCTTCTGATGATCTTGCTGTACGGACTAGTTTATTGCCGGCCGGAATCGAGTTTCCTACGAGGAGGATACGAAGGGTGTTTAATTTTCGGATCGGCTTTTATGATCTCAACGGCGAGATTGCAGCAAAGGGTGGCGGCAGAGATCAACCAAATGAATGGTAGGCCAGGGATATTGCTGTACGAGTTCAGGAGATCAAAGTTGGCTATGGAGGAGTTGAGAGGGGAGCTGGAGAGGAGAGGCGGTAGCGGTGGCGGAGGAGGGGTGGAGGAGTGGGAAATGGAAGTCGGAGGGATAAGGGAAAGAGTGGAGAACTTGAAAGGGTGGTTTGGGGTGTTGAGATCTGGTGCTGACAATATAGTTGTGCAACTTGATGATTTCTTTGATGAGATTGTTGAAGGGAGGAAGAAGCTGTTGGACTTTTGCAGTCATAGGTAGAAGAAAAAAGAGAGGACGAAATCATAAAAAAAAAGAATGTAGGATGGTTGGAAAAGAAAGTTTAAAAAAAACACTAGATGGAAGTAGGTTGTTGATGTACCTTTTGACCCTTCTCTTTCTTTCTAAAATGATTTTCTTTATTTTTTTCAATATCATGCATGCATTCATTGTTTCTACTGGACATGGAAGTTATTCCCCCCCTAAAACCCAGAGGATAATTATTTTTAATGCAGCTTCCATTTCCTATAACAAAAGGGCATAGAATCTTCTATATAATTAATTATATGTATAACTGGAGAGGGTGAGTATGAGAACCTACATATATAAATACTTACTAGGTAATAAATATATTGAAAGTGACTTCCCTCTTGAAAATACAGTTGTCAATTTTAGAGGTGAAAATAGAAGATGAAACAGGGGGAGGATTGTGAGAGGCTTTAAAATTTGAAATCAAGCAGAGGTAGTTTCGTTGATCTTGGGTTTGTTTCTTCTGTGTTGTCTTGATTCGGGGGGGTTTCAAGTTTGAAAGCAACGTAGTTTAATGATGAAAGCGTCCAAGTTCTAATCATATCCCATCCTGACATGTCTCCATCAGTAGTAGCAGAAAGTCTTGTGGAAAATTATGGATTTCCGACCCTGCTCCGTTACCTGCTGTTTCACAAACAGCAGAGCAAAGCAAGCCCCCTATCAACCCAAATCATTTTCTTCATTTCACTTTTATTTGTTATTTTAGAAAAAGAAGAGATTTCAGCTTTTGTTTCCTCTTTACACCCTGGTTACTGAAATCAGACATTATCAACAACGAGTATCTTCCAACAAGAGCAGGAGATATATCAAAAGAAACGACATATCAACTTATGTTTACTTTTAATCAAGTGAGAATATTGTACGAGACAGAAATATTCATTTCTTTAAAAAATTATTCCATATTTTTGAAACGAATAGGTACTTACAACAGAAACGGATAGCTTAGCAGGGAAACACCGACATCAACTTACAGAAGCAGCTTAGCAGTACCAAGTTTGAGGATGGCTTGCTGAGGTTCTTCCCGTATGAAGATATCTACATTCTACAGTTCTATAAAATGTGATTACATCATAAATATTTTTATACTCTTCTGAAAACAAATGACTACATCTTTTAAGAAGCTACACAAGTGAAAGACAACTCATTCACCTCAGTGATTTTGACCTACGCTGTGTAATTTACAAGTGTAGAATGGGAAAACATGGATGGCCAAAATTGATTGAATTACCAAGACAAAGTGAGGGTATGCCACAGAAACAACAAAAGGGTGTCAAGTAGTATGCAAACATCTTTATAAAATATTCAATCATCAAATCCTGGCATTGCAAACTGGGCAGCAAATGTTTCAACTCGGTTCCGAAGATCAATATCTTTGTTATTGTGTAGACCCTGGAGAAAATCTTTCTGCAATTTCCATGATCTCTCTGTACAACACTTGTAATCTGAGCTGCTCTGTAAAGAAAGTTGGCGATTGTCTCAAAATCAGACTCCAAACAACCCTTGATGTCATAGCAGGCGTACCTGAGAGAAAATTATCAAAGTTAGGAAATTAATGGAACAAGATGCCCAGCACTTGTATGACAACCAAGCACAAACCGAAAACACAATATGTGCTCTTTTTAACCATTTCATCTTTAAAAGAACTTGCTTGCTACTCTAAGCTACCACGAGTTAACCACTTCTAATATGTTATTAGGGTATATAGAACAAATTAATGCATTAAGAAGAACTGATTAATATTAGCCCAATTAGCTCAGTCAACCAACTAAAAAAAATGCAAAACGCGATTGCCTAATGAAAATAAGGCATATTCTACTGTGACCCTTTATGAAGCTGTCTAAAAGCAATAGAAATTTCTGAAAAAGAGAAAACAAGAATAGTCCTTACCAATTCTGACTCCTCCAGGAGAAATAGCACCATTATCACCAAAGATAGCAGTTTTATTCAGTGTGATGTGGCACATCTCACAAAACTTTCTCATAGCATTTACTAGGAAACATAATAGGTGAGAGTTATTTATAGGACAAATTTAAGGAAGCAAAGGTCACAATATGAAGGAAATGCACTGTGTATCAAATTGCACATATATGTTTGTCATGGTGATAAAATTATTAGAATTATCATACTGATTAAACTACAAATTCCTGTTAAAAATATGGAACAAATATGAAACAATTTTTAGCTCGCCAAATAGATGGGTTGGTGAGATGTAGACCAAAAAGAAACTTGAAGCAAATATGTTCTGCAAGCAATTGGCTCTCTTATGATTCTCAGGAAGATTGAAGTATCAACTTCTATTTTCACCACTAAGAATCTTATTACAGTTAATTATTAGCTTTCTAGACTAAATTTATAAGAATAACTTATCCATACTCTTTACATGTAATAAAACACATATGCAAAAGCTCTCCCCTTTAAAAAGCCATTAAGAAGTCTTAGGTGAAAACCGGTCGCAAAAAACTCCATTGTTTACATAATCAAACGAAATCACAAGAAATAAATTAATTCCAACCAAAAAACAAATTCGATATGTTAGCATATTTTCCAAGCTTTAAATGCTCTAAATATTTATCATATTGAGCAGGCAATATTAGTGTACCTGTCAAGCCTAGAGTAGTGAGATCCCAGAGCAACAAATGATTGTCCGTGCCCTCAGTAACCAACTTGCATTTTCTTCTCAGCAGAGAAGATGCTAATGCCTGAGCATTTTTCTTCACCTGTTGCATATATGCTTTGTGCTCTGGTGTAGCCACTTGCTTCAAGGTTATGGCAAGAGCGGCAATATGATTATTATGAGGTCCCCCTTGTAATGATGGAAAAACAGCAAAGTTTATCTTTTCCTCAAAATCATACTGGCCATTACTATCACCATTACTGAGACACACGCCTTGCTTTTTGGCTTTGCACCTCCTATAAAAAATATACCTCCCCTTGGGCCACGCAGACTTTTGTGAGTTGTTGAAGTAACAATATCAGTAGTCGAATGGACTGGCACATTCCTGTAATAGACGAAGGACAAGAGTGAACATGCTGGTAAGAGGGGAAAAAACACAAATTTACATTGCATGAAAAGGAAAATACCAAAAGATTTTATTAATATGAAGTACCATTACATTACAAAAGCTATTATACTTCTTTCAAGGGTTAAAGCATAGAAAAGGGATTATTTTCTTTTAACTTTTTTTCCCGGGGAGTTTTTTTGTGTGTGTGTGCACGTGTGGGAGGGGGGGATTGCATGTTTGTTGTGGGTATGGTAGTGTCAACCCAAAACCTCAAGGAATATACTACTAGTTCTAGACTGACACTCATACAAATTAGTGTTGAATAGGAAATCACCTCGTAAAAAATTAACAGCACATAACTTCAAATTTCATGCGTATCAAGGATGAGCAAGCAACTCATATATTCAAATGACCAGAGCACCCCCTAATGTATTCAGCATAAAGACAATAGATATAATCTAAGTTATATGATTTACTAGCCAACCAAAAGGAAAAGGCAAAGGAAAAAGGGAAAGAAACATATATTTCCCCGACTAGGAGGGCTGATAAGGTCTATGTGCATTTACATTTATATAAACTCAAAGATATGTGTGTGAGTATCCTAGTCTAACAAACTCAAAGTTATTAGAAAGGAGAAGGGTAAGATATGAAAATCTTAGATGGCATTATGGCTATAAAATCAGACAGTTTGTGAAATTTAGATGATAAATCAGTCCATCTCGCACAACTTAATATACAGGTTTAACCTCCTTTCAACATCAATAAGCTGTAAGTTACAAATGTTGTTTGGAAATACAAATTCAACAGGTGAATTTGCTTTCCACCAAAATAAATCTTAGGCATTCTCTCTAAAGCAGAAGTCTGATGTAACTTCTTTTTCTATTTCTTAAATGTAAAGGTTAGCATGTACGTTTAAGTTGAGTTCTGTTGCATAAAATTGAAGGTTGTGGTGTGTTAATCGTTTGAATATATGGCAGGCCAACAGTTATACTCCTTTACAATTACAAACAGCGATTTACTTAGTAAGTTAACCAAAGTGGTATCAGAACAATTAATAGTTTTATAGATTAGACATGGGACTTAAGCCAGGCATATAACTATCCAAATGAACTGCAATCAACCATATACAGTGCCAAAACAGCAAGAAACCTCAACTCAGAGCACAAAAATCTTATATTAGAATCAGAACATCAAAGCAATTAGTATGCAAAACAATGAAATTTCAAACCTGAGCTGCCACAAGACCACTAATATGAGCCATATCACACATCAATACCGCTCCACACCTATCCGCAATCTGCCTAAACCTGGCATAGTCCCACTCCTAGGATACGAACTCCCACCACAAATAAGAATCTTGGGCCGATAATCAAGCGCCTTTCCTCAAGCTTATCATAATCATATACCCTGTTTGAGGATTCACCTTATAAGGAAACTCTCAAAAATATAGAAGCAGCAGATACTTTCTTCCCACCCGGCATATGCCATCCATGGTCATATGCCCTCCGGACGGTGAATCCAACCCCATGATCCGATCACCAGGCAACAAAAGTCCGGTATAAACAGCAAAATTCGCAGAAGTACATGAATAAGGCTGCACATTGACACCCATTTCTCGGAATCAAGATTAAAAGCTGCCAACGCACGCTCGTGGCATAGGGTTTCGATTGATCTATAAACTGATTGCCCGTATAGTACCTGGCTCCAGGCATTCCTTCGGAGTATTTGTTCGTTAAATGGCTTCCCAATGCTTCCACAGCTGGCACAAAATTTTCGGAAGCAATAAGCTCAATTCCTAAAACTTGCCTTTGCTTTTCCTTTTGATTTCATCCACTTCTGGATCCGCCTCTTCTAGCCGTTGGTTTCCCCATGAAAGGACAGCTGCTCGCCGTTGCTCCAAACTGGGCTCGGCAGGTAACCGTTTACAAGGGTCGAAACAGGCTTAGAGTCCCTTTGTCTTTTCACACATAGATTGTCCTAGAATTATAATTTCTTCATCTTCGTTGTTGTAGTCTTTTTGCTCTCCGCTCTCGAAGCGAGGG